AATAGAGTTAAATTAGGGTGTTGTTACAGCACGTCAGAAGATCTATGCTCATTGTTTCGAGCACTTCAGAAGATCTATGCTGGTTTGGCACATCAGAAGATCTATGCTCACTATTTCAAGCACGTCAGAAGATCTATGCCAGTTTTAGCATTTCAGAAGATCTATGCTTGTTTCAGCACATCAGAAGATCTATGCTAATTGTACAATCAAATTCATGCATGTAATAATTTACCTGAATTGAACAGATGACATGTATATTGACTGCAGAAATCATATCCTTCATTAAATGGTAACATAATTACAATTCGTAAGGATAACAAAACATGTTCAGAATGACTACACTACACTAGGCTAGATTAGGCTATGCTACGCTACTCCTAAAAAAGGAAAAGAAAGGTGGTCAAGAAATCGTACCCAAAGCTGTCTCGTATGCACAATATGCCTTATGCGCAGGCTACGGAGTGCGTGTGAGGTATTGTGGGAATTAGATTTCTAACCCCTTGCTACGAGCATGGCTCTTTTAATTTATAGACAAAGATTTGGGAAAAATAATTGTTTCTGACGCACCCCGGAAGTGCATAATCGTTCTAAACTTCCACGTAGTGGCCTGCTCCTGGGCCCGTCTCTGGATAATTCTTTGAACTGCTCGTTAACTTTCCCAAACCGTTCTGCAGCCTTTGACACTTATCCCATGTTACTTCAATCGCTCCTAATTCGTGTCTCCTTTAAGTTCTCCATTCTGAGAGGTTATGAAGTGTATTCGTATATGTCCGGATTCTTGGGATTTCGAGTAACCAACGAAAACTATAGTTGAATGTTTCCTGATTCTGCTTGTACTTTGAGAGGTTGCTAGGCTGTGAGCCCTTTTCCTGAGCAGCACCCTTCCTGGTTCGAGGATTTCGAGAGTTTCACTAAAATTGTCTTCGCGCATCTCTTGATTCTCTTCAAACTTCGTATACCTTCTTTAGAAACTTCTCTCGATCATATAAGATTTTCGAGCACCCTTGTGTTTCGAGTGTCTCCGAATTCATTTTCCGGTACTAACAAATGCCCCCTGGAAAACATTTGTTTCGAGGTAACTGAGAAAGAATGTTTTCTAATACCTCAATCATCTAATCTGATAAGAGCCACGTGTACGTGTTCTTCACGAGAATTAAATGCCTCTGACATTATTAATTCCAAATTTCTCCTTTTCGTACCTGCTGCAGTAAATTTGGCGGCACTGATTCTGCCTCCCCGGGATATGCTGACGCGATTTCAAATTTGTCCGTTAGCGAATATTTTCGGTTACCCAAAAATTTGAATTCCCCCTTTTTGAATTTCACAGCGGGCTTTTACTACGCCTTGGCCCATTTTGCTCTTTCATATAACCTTTTCACCTTGACCTTCTGAGTACGTTTTACTGCACCCTCGCACTCATCTCATTTTTACCTTCGACTTCTTCATCATCTTCCTCTCGTTCCCATGGCAACTTCCGCTGCATCCGCGTCTACGGCTACACCTGCGACTTCGACGGTTTCCCCTACTCCTTTTGTTCCTTTGCTGACGGAGAACGCAACTCTTTCCTACTTAAGTGAAGGGGCTAACCCATTCGTTCCTATCCCTGGCATGGAGGAAGCCAGTCTCAAAATCTTCCAATCACAGGTACTTCTCCTTTTTTCGCTCTCTGACGGATCAATGCATGCTTTTCTAGGTCCCTTTTCGAATCCAAGCAAGAAGAAGACTCATAATGATTTACTTCCGGAAGATGATTCCACCCTTCCTTTCGTTTACTCTCCAACCATCGACCTTTCTCTTTTTTCGGATACTGCGAAGATGTTTCAGGCTTTTCCCCCTCCTAAGGACAAACACATTCAATGGTTGGAACGTATTGAGGCCTCGAAGCAATCTATTTAGAAAGAAGCTTGAATATTCGATTTCGTTCAATTATCGAAATACTATCTGAACGTTTTCGATCCTCAGATGTTATTATCTGCTATTTTCTTTTGGAACAGGGAAACTCGTGCTATCGAATTTTCTTGTGGTTTTGTCTGTCCCACTCTCTTGGATATCGCTGCCATCATCGCGACCGCCGAGGCCCGTTTGGGCCGGTGGCGACAATACTGAAATTACTTCAAGAAATCGTAAAAGAGAAGAGTTTAAGGAGATAATCATATTTGTTGTTTCTTGTGTGGTTTATATGCTTATGGGAGTAGTAACATGGTATCATAATAATTATTTTGTTAAGGAACCAACTTATAATTGGGAATTAGAGTGGCGTAGTTTCCTTAATCATCTTTATAGAGGGGCAGAAAAAGATTGCATTGAACAGTTAAGGCTCAGTAATAGTGCATTTTTCAAGCTTTGTAGAATTTTACAAGAAAGAGGGGGGGTTAGTAAGAACAAGAAATGTTCCAATAACTGAAGCGGTGGCAATGTTTTTACATATCCTTACTCACAACCTAAAGTACAGAGTAGTGCACTTTAGTTATTGTAGATCTAAAGAAACAATAAGCCGACAATTTAATAATGTCTTTAAAGCTGTAATGAAAGTGAGCCAGGATCATTTGAAGTTTCATACCTATCTAGAAGGTCCAAGTGAAAATAAATGGAAGTGGTTTGACGTAAGTTTATCAATTGTAAGGCTAGTCAAACTTACAATATGTTGAGATTCATGGAGTGGTGAATCAACTCAAACTTGGAGAATGAAAGTTTTGATGATAAAAAAATATGGATTCTGAGAATCAAAGCTGACTAAGGACATCAACAAGTCAAAGAATAAAATATGGCTATTATGTTGTGTAATAGGGATAACTCATAAGTTGTATTGATTTGTTTAGCTTATTTTGCATGTGTGTGCTTTGTGCATGAGTTAATCTTAACCTAATTTGACTGAGAGTAAGTATAATGATGATTTAAATACTTGGAAAGTTATTTTGAGATAGAAAACTGAGTTTTTGAAAACTGACTCAAAATAATCGATTATCATTAAATATAATCGATTATTCTAGCAATAGGTGAAAAGGATGCCTTGCTGTAATAATCGATTATTTGTGAAATAACGGATTATCCCAGGAAGCACTCTCTGGAATAATCGATTATCCTGCACAATAATCGATTATTATGTTCTTGGGTGATTTCCAGAAATCATGAAGAACCAAATAATCGATTATTCTTTAAAATAATCGATTATCTGGTTCTGAAAATGTTATAAATAGTTTTTACACTTTGAAATTTCAGAACAGAGAATGAGTTACCAATTAAAAAGAGAAAAACGTTATTGTGAAGTCTTTGTGACCTTCTTGGAGTGTTTTCTTTGTGAAACCAAGAAGTAAAACATTTTTGAAATGCTTTGAAAGAGATCATCATCATCATCACATTCTTGAAAGAGAAAGATTGAGATTTGCTTCTAAATTCACAGTCTGATTTGTTCAGCTTCCAGGTGAATTCGTTCCTTTAATTCTTTGTGAATAATTGTAAATCTTGAGTAGGTGTCTCAAGTGGTAAGGAATTCTTGTAGTGGATTTCTACAAGAGGTGCTTTCTTGGGGTCAAGAAAGTGGTTATCTTGAATGTAGGAGTATATGCATGTGTGGTATGCTTGTAAAACTTCTTCATTGAGATAGTGGAACAAATCTTGATCAGGTTATGATTAAGAACTGGATGTAGGTCACATGTGGAGTGGCTGAACCATGATAAAAGACTTGTGCATTCTTCTCTTACCCTTATCTTTTACTTTGAGTAATATCTTGATTGTGTGTTAAAGGGAATAATCTTGATTAATATGTTTATATGCACAACATTGCTTTAAACTAAATCAAAGTGTTGCATATTAAGTGTTCTTAACTTTGAACTTTATCAAAGATTAATCAAGAAAGCATATAGGACTCATTCCCATTAGAAAGTCTTTCAAGGAACTTCTTTGAGAGTTCATATTAGAAAATTTTAAATTGAAATAAAGATCCTAAGAACACTGAAAATTTTTAAAGTGTCATAGAATCCAATTCACCCCCCCTCTTGGATTGTGCCATTCTTTTCTAACATAATAAACCTTTTTGAAAAACTAAATATATAAATACACTTGTGTTGTTTGTAGAAATGTGTTGGAGCACTTGATAGAACACATATTCCGGTAACAGTTTCTCTTGAAGATAGGCCTAAATATTGTAATAGAAAAGGTGATGTTTCTACAATTGTGTTAGCAACTTGTGGTCCAGATTTAAGGTTTATTTATGCGTTACCTGGGTGGGAAGGGTCAGTAGGAGATTCTCGAGTATTACGAGATGCTTTATGTCGTCAAAATAAACTTGAAATTCTAACTGGTAATATCATGTAATAGTATTTTATTTAATTTTATCTAGTTCCAAGTTGTAATTTTCATTTTTTAAAATTGTTGGTAAGTACTTTCTTGTGGATGCGGGATATACTAATGGTCCAGGATTCTTAGCATCATATCGAGGGACTAGATATCATCTGAATGAGTGGATTGGAAACACCCCTCAAAATTTCAAGGAGTTATTTAATCTTCGTCATTCAAGTGCACGAAATGCAATAGTAAGGTTTTTTTGGAATACTGAAAAAAAGATGGAGTATATTAAGAACTCCTTCATTTTTTGATATAAAGACACAAATAAGAAATATTAATGCTTGTTTTGTGTTATACAACTTTATAAGAGATGAGCAACAAATTGATCAACTTTAGAGGTTCAAGACTTGGAGCTCTTATCTATTGCTGATGAGGAGCTAACTAGCCAACGGAGAGAAAGAGTTCAAAACAATGTCATAGACGAGGTTGCAACTATTCAAGTTACTGAGGAGTAAACAAGATTTCAAGATATATTAGCAATGAATATGTTTGCTAACTACCAAGTTAGAAGAAACATTGCTTAGGGAGAGTTTTTTCTTTTTTTGATGTAATTTTCTATTGAAGAAAGACTTTTTATGTACTTGATGGACTTTTTTGTACTTGATTGAAGAAAACTTTTTCTTGAAATATTGTCTTTTGCTAACTTCCATTTGTTTACAAAAAAATATTTACATGATCTAGAATTATGAATTGGATTGATCAAGTTAATTTTGTGGGTTGTATGTGACATTTTTTATATATAGGTTAATAGGTGGTATTAACTTCAATGGATTCATCCAAAGAGAACGTGAAGGGAAAGCGAAAGATGACAAAGAAATAATGAAGAAACAAGAAGTTATTTCTCATGGAATTTGAAGATGGAACGTGTATTGGCTAATGTATTATGAGATCAAAGAAGTTTGGGCAACAAGAGTGATGGAGCTTGGAAAAGGGTAGCATACAATGCTGCAGCTGTAGTGTTATCTATCAACTTCAAAATCCAAGTCACTTGGAAGAATGTAAAAAATCATATCAAACTTTGGAGATCATGGTATGGAGTTGTTAGTGACATCCTTAGTCAAAGTGGATTTGATTGGGATGACACAAAACACATGATTACAATTGACAATGAAAATGCTTGGAATGAGTATGTCAATGTAAGTAATTTTATATTATCATTATTTAAAGCAATGTAAGTATTATTTTTTCTATTATTGACTTATTTCTTTTGTTTTCAAGGCCCATAAAGAAGCAAGACAATTCCGATTCAAGGTGATTGCAAACTAGAATGATTAATGGACTTGTGTGTTAAAGATAGAGCCACTAGACATGGAGTTGAGATTGTTATGGATGCTGATGAGGTCATGGGCAGAGAAATAAATGAAGGGGAATTAGGTTTAGAGGATGTTAGTGATACCATGTATTTAGATGAACCTGGCTCTACTACACAAAGAAGGGGTCAATCTTCAGCTTCTACTAGCACACAATCTCAAAGGAGAAAGTTAGGAGAAACAGATGGAATAGCTAATTTGTTGAAAAAAGTGGCTGAATCTTTAAAATGACTTGTTCAAGCATTTGATATTATGATTGATGAAGATTCTTTTATTCAAGAAGTGTTAGCTGAAGTAGCTTTGATACCAAACCTTAATCAACATTAATGGGCCAAAGCTGTTAAATGGTTATTTGACACTCCAAAACAGTTAGCTATTGTGAAAGCTCTTCCAATTGAGAAAAAAGGCAGCTTATGTTTTAACACATATTTCTTGATGTATTTTTTTTTGTAACTTCTTAATTTTAATTAATTTGATTGGTTGTTGCAAGTTTGTTAAGTCAAACGAAGAGTTTCCCAAAAAGGTTTTGAGTGAGACAAATATAATATACGTTGTTATCTCTAACAAGTGGGTTAGTGTTTCAGAAAGACATAAGAACAAGTAAAATGACGAAGAGGCATAAGCATCAGATGATACAAAACGAAAGGCCAACATTAGCACTCAACAAGTCAAATCAGGAACAAGACCATGGCAAGCACAATCTAAGGTAACACATAAAGACTCAGACGGAAGATGGTCAAACGACCAAGAAGAAACTCCAGAAGAAATGGGAAGTTCTTTGTGGAGGATTTCGTTCGTAGGTTCTTTTTGTTCGAACTAGCACGAGTTCACGTTTCAATTTATGCGTGTTCGTGACATGACAGAATCGAAGAATTTTCGTGAAAGAATAAATTCATACAAGCAACGAATAGAGTTAAATTAGGGTGTTGTTACAGCACGTCAGAAGATCTATGCTCATTGTTCCGAGCACTTCAGAAGATCTATGCTTGTTTCAGCACATCAAAAGATCTATGGTAATTGTACAATCAAATTCATGCATGTAATAATTTACCTGAATTGAACAGATGACATGTATATTGACTGCAGAAATCATATCCTTCATTAAATGGTAACATAATTACAATTCGTAAGGATAACAAAACATGTTCAGAATGACTACACTACACTAGGCTAGATTAGGCTATGCTACGCTACTCCTAAAAAAGGAAAAGAAAGGTGGTCAAGAAATCGTACCCAAAGCTGTCTCGTATGCACAATATGCCTTATGCGCAGGCTACGGAGTGCGTGTGAGGTATTGTGGGAATTAGATTTCTAACCCCTTGCTACGAGCATGGCTCTTTTAATTTATAGACAAAGATTTGGGAAAAATAATTGTTTCTGACGCACCCCGGAAGTGCATAATCGTTCTAAACTTCCACGTAGTGGCCTGCTCCTGGGCCCGTCTCTGGATAATTCTTTGAACTGCTCGTTAACTTTCCCAAACCGTTCTGCAGCCTTTGACACTTATCCCATGTTACTTCAATCGCTCCTAATTCGTGTCTCCTTTAAGTTCTCCATTCTGAGAGGTTATGAAGTGTATTCGTATATGTCCGGATTCTTGGGATTTCGAGTAACCAACGAAAACTATAGTTGAATGTTTCCTGATTCTGCTTGTACTTTGAGAGGTTGCTAGGCTGTGAGCCCTTTTCCTGAGCAGCACCCTTCCTGGTTCGAGGATTTCGAGAGTTTCACTAAAATTGTCTTCGCGCATCTCTTGATTCTCTTCAAACTTCGTATACCTTCTTTAGAAACTTCTCTCGATCATATAAGATTTTCGAGCACCCTTGTGTTTCGAGTGTCTCCGAATTCATTTTCCGGTACTAACAAATGCCCCCTGGAAAACATTTGTTTCGAGGTAACTGAGAAAGAATGTTTTCTAATACCTCAATCATCTAATCTGATAAGAGCCACGTGTACGTGTTCTTCACGAGAATTAAATGCCTCTGACATTATTAATTCCAAATTTCTCCTTTTCGTACCTGCTGCAGTAAATTTGGCGGCACTGATTCTGCCTCCCCGGGATATGCTGACGCGATTTCAAATTTGTCCGTTAGCGAATATTTTCGGTTACCCAAAAATTTGAATTCCCCCTTTTTGAATTTCACAGCGGGCTTTTACTACGCCTTGGCCCATTTTGCTCTTTCATATAACCTTTTCACCTTGACCTTCTGAGTACGTTTTACTGCACCCTCGCACTCATCTCATTTTTACCTTCGACTTCTTCATCATCTTCCTCTCGTTCCCATGGCAACTTCCGCTGCATCCGCGTCTACGGCTACACCTGCGACTTCGACGGTTTCCCCTACTCCTTTTGTTCCTTTGCTGACGGAGAACGCAACTCTTTCCTACTTAAGTGAAGGGGCTAACCCATTCGTTCCTATCCCTGGCATGGAGGAAGCCAGTCTCAAAATCTTCCAATCACAGGTACTTCTCCTTTTTTCGCTCTCTGACGGATCAATGCATGCTTTTCTAGGTCCCTTTTCGAATCCAAGCAAGAAGAAGACTCATAATGATTTACTTCCGGAAGATGATTCCACCCTTCCTTTCGTTTACTCTCCAACCATCGACCTTTCTCTTTTTTCGGATACTGCGAAGATGTTTCAGGCTTTTCCCCCTCCTAAGGACAAACACATTCAATGGTTGGAACGTATTGAGGCCTCGAAGCAATCTATTTAGAAAGAAGCTTGAATATTCGATTTCGTTCAATTATCGAAATACTATCTGAACGTTTTCGATCCTCAGATGTTATTATCTGCTATTTTCTTTTGGAACAGGGAAACTCGTGCTATCGAATTTTCTTGTGGTTTTGTCTGTCCCACTCTCTTGGATATCGCTGCCATCATGGGACTGAAACCCTTGGGGGACCGTTATCTTCCTAACACTCTTGAAGAAGAGATTCCGATGACCGAAACTTCGATCGTCTGGGACAAAAAGAAGTATTCGGCCTTTGTCAGTGCACATCATGGCGAAGAAGGTACTCCTGTTACTGACTCTGAGCACATTGCCTTCTTGCTCTATTGGCTGTCTGCTTGTGTCTTTTGTACCCCTTCTCTGCAAGTTCCCAAGTACTACTACACACTCGCCCAGGCTTTGCATCTGAAGAAAAAGATTTGCTTGAGCAAGTTGTTACTTGCCTCTTTTTATAACTGTCTTGATGAAGCCTCGAAAAGCTTGTTTCGAGAGACTGGCCCTCGAAACCTCACAGGGCCACTTTGGCTTTTGCAATTATGGCTTAATGCCATTTTCGAGAAGAAACTGAAGCTTCTTCCTCTTCAAGCCTCCATTCGATATTCTCTCGAAGGCGCTCGCTTGACTGCCTTGACTCCCAAGAAAAAATCTGTTGATGGTTTTGCCTGTTATGTCCAAGCAATTCTTGAATTCGAGGAGTTCTCGAATGATTTGGCTCCTTTCATCCGCGCTGATTTGGTAGGGCTTTCCTGGTTAATTGGTAATAATCAGGTAGGACAGATTTCCCAGGAGATGGTCAAAATCTGGATGGGATTCCTATCTTGGGATCTCATCTTCACTGGGATGAAACAAAGGGATGTAAGAGTTTATCCCTATCAGCCTCAAATCTTTGCCCGTCAATTCGGGCTTTGTCAGATTAGACCGACACCTCTTTTCCCAAAGGATAGAATTGATTCTGATGTTTGTGTAGAAGATGTTGATTATGATGGCTTTTTGAAGTTCATCCTGACGCCTTCCACCCAATTGAACCTTACCCCTTGTTCTTTTCTTCCCGCATTCTTGGTGTCCAATTACTACCTTCGATGGTGGTGTAGTTATTACACCGACAAGATGTTCTCCTTCGAGGACTTTTCTCGGAAACTTACGAATTCTCCCTTTTCTCTGCAGGGCCCGAAGATTTCAGGTATTTATGATAATCGCAACATTATTTCCCAGTTCAAACTATATTACAGAGTTTGTTATCGCCCCGAAAATATGTTTCGAACTATTTTCGATGCTACTTTATCCCTGACTAGAATGGTACAATGGAACATCCGTCGAAATAAAGTCATTGATCCTCAGGGTCAAACTACTTTTGCAATGTTTTGTCCTAAGGACATACCTCCTCTTCCTAATGCCCTTTTCGGCCTTGCGAAACG